AAAAAATAAAAGGAATGTACATAAGAATAATAATGAATAATGATGGATGATAATGAAGTGAAACAATTGAAATTTTTTTTTTTAAAAAAAAGAGAGAGATGAACATCTATAAATGAAAAAAAAGCATGTATGTAAAATTAATAATTATTGTATATAAATATTATATTATATTTTTTTTTTTTTGATTTACTACAAAAATTAAATAAAATTTATTTTCTCCCCCCTCTCCCTTTCTTGTCTAACGATCTATTATAATTAATTTATTGCTGAATAGTAACGTTACGAGTGACAGTTTCGTAATTGTCACTATTTCTTTTTAATATATCAACAACCGGCCCTAACAATCTAACAAATGCTTTTTTACCCAAAGTGGCTACTTTTAATCTACCTTTTGCTGAAATACTCGCTGCACGTGGTCTATTATTAAGTAATGCAAGTTCTAATAAAAAAAAAAATCAAGAATCAAAAATCAAAAATTAATTAATTATTGTTATTAATAATGATAATCAGCAAATGACAAATTGTTTACCTCCAAAATAATCTCCTTTTTTTAACCCAAGGAATTCATGTTCGACGCCATTTTCATCAACTTTTGTTACCGTAGCTTCTCCAGATTCTATCAAATAAAAATCCTCGCCAATATCTCCCTGCTTAATTATCAATTCGCCATCTTCATAATCCATGGATTCCAATGCGTCAGCGATCTTGTGTCTCTCGTAGGGTTCCAGTGATTTAAAAAGTGGTACTTCTTCAAGAAATGATTCATACATTTGTCGCTTACGAGATGTATTCTCCATCAAAATTCTATGAAAAGTTACTCTATCAAGTGCCCAAAGAACTGAATCCGATGTTGCTACAACGGTAGCTGCACGAGGCACATTATACATTAAAGCCAACTCTCCAAAACTTCCACCTGGTCCATAATCCATCACCTTTTCTGCCGGTGCTCCATTTTTTGAAACATAAACATCAAAGCTACCAGTTTCCACGACATAAAAAAAATCACCAATCCCTCCTTGTTTGATGATCTCTTCGTTTTTATTTACACTTATTTCTGCCATGGCATCGATCACATCTTTGCATTGTTCCTCATCAAGATTTTTAAATAGAAAATTGCTAGAGATTGATGTTTCAATCCTTTGTCGTTGTTGTTCAGTCTTTGGAATGACAATTTTTACATACTCATTATTCTGACTTGGAGCAATTGATTCTGCGCTAACTGAAGTTCGTCGACCTCTATTGTAAGTTATTGGAATTTCTGGGAGATCACTTGGTTGATTATCGTACAATTCTTCATTATCAGGAAAATAATCAGTGGTAGGTGTACTTGCTATAGATGTTTTGGCGGAATAAAAGTCCGGAGAAGCTCCCTCTTTAATTTCTGTATCTGATAAATCTGAAATATATAATGGATATTCTATTGATAAATTTTGTGTTGGCGAAGACATAATAATTTATGTGTCAACTATGGAAATTATTTAAAAAAAAATATATAAATTATTAAACAATGCATTTATGTCATGTGTTCCTTTTAAAAGTCTTACTCAATGCTACACAAAGCTAGTATTTATATACATATTTACTTCAATGCCTAAAAGAGTGTAGAACATAGGTATTATACCAAATCTTTTCATCAAATATTTATCTTATGTGTTAACATATTGAAACTCTTTTTTAATCAAGCAATGTTATAGAATAAATGAGATAAATGATTACAAAATACAAATCGTCATCATTAGTTTTTTTTTGACCAGAAATTTAATGTTACAGACTTTAACAATCATGCATTAAACTGGCGAATAATATATAATATTGGTCAAGGTTCAGAATGATTGAAATCAGCCAAGTTGGATGCTTACATAAAAACAAAAATAAACCAACTTGGTGCGATTTTCATATGTAATAACAGTTATAAATTCATAGTATTATCATTAGTATTAGTCAACGAACGGAAGAAAAGGATGCACAAATTCTAATTTTTAGTCAAGCCAACAAGATTATTTTTAAAATAAACATATATCTCGTCACCTTTTTTATTATTATTATTAGTTTGTCAGCGTCACCCACCAATTATTCATATTTGATTTAATCAATCATATTGATTCATTACATATCAACGGATTCATTTAAGTCACTTCATTCAATCATTCGTATTGAATGATTGAATATATCTTAACAGCTAATTTCCAAATTAGCATATCAAAAGTGCGTTTTCTCTTTCATGATAGTTGTCGATACATCTTCACATATATATGTAAAATCCATTTTCATAAATGTAATATCATATATCATATAAACGAAAATAATTAATAATGAATAAAAAATATTACATTGATATTAAATTATGTATGTTAGTAGAAATTAAACGAGGGTGAAAAGAAGAAAGACTGAGAAATAAGCAGCAGAATTCGAAAAGAAGCGGAAGGATGAAAAATAAAAACTATATAGTAAAAAATAATAAGCACAGGAGACAAAAAACAGACCTCGTGTATCAACATTACAAGTCAACAACCGTAATAATATATTTTTTTGATCTAATTTATTTTTGTAAAGTTTTATTCAACATATATTCATCTGTCGCTCTCTCTACATAAATATATATATCTCTCTTTTTAAAATATCAACTTTTCTCTTCCTCTCTTATTTATTCATTCATTCTCTACAATCATTCAAATCATTTCTAAATTATTAATTATTCCCTAGGAAAATAAAATAAAAAAAGATTAATAAAATAAAATGAAATACGCAAATAAAATAAAGGAATAAAATAATATGAATTAAAAAAATAAAATAAAAAATAGTTGTAAAATATAAAGATTATAAAGTATAAAAGTATATATAAAATATTATAATTATATAAAAAAAAATTAATCCAAATAAAGAAAGACGAGTAAATAATATTTTTTGTATATATTGATTATAATTTGTTGAATGATGTTTTGAGTCTATTGTTGTTGAATAATGCTGAAATAAACATATTTATTATTATTCATCTGCAAAAAAATATTGTTTCAATTAATTTATCCAAATCCAATAATATATAATATATTGATATATTCTCATTCACTAAACTAAAAAATCCAAGTTTCTTTTTTTTTTAAAAAAAGTATTCCCTAAAAAATTATTTTGTCAAAACAATAATAATAATCTTTTAAAACAATTAATTAACTAGAAATATGTTACACATGATTGATTTCTATTTCCAACTAAAATTTCCAATTTCCAAATAAAAAGAGAGAGAGAGCATTATATATGTATAAATCATCGATGAGAATAAGGGGGACTTGGGGTGCGACCACCAGATCTGTAATTTGGGCTAAATCCTCTCATTCCAACAGGCGAGCCACCACCGCCACCGCCACGACCATCTAAATAAAAATGAAATAATCAACTCAATCTAATAATTCTTGTATATTATTTTTTCACAAATAATAAATATAACAGTACATACATGGATCAGAAGAACGACTATGAAAAACAAAACCAATGTTTTTTGTTAGAAATTGTGTTATTTTTTTAGAAAAATTATTATAATAAAATTAAAAGAGCACACATACTCGCCGGGTCCATATTTATCTTTACGACGTTGATCTTTCTTACTCAATCCAACATCCCTTTTTATATTATTGTTGTTGTTGTTGTTATTATTATTGTTATTACGAATCTCGAAAAAAAAATTTTTAATTAAAAAAATAATATACCAGTCTAATTTTAATCGACGTCCTTCAACATTAGTACCATTATATTTATCAAAGGCATCTTCGGCATCTCTTCTATCTTCAAACTCAACAAATGCAAAGCTGATAATAATTTTTTTTTTAAAGTAAATTTTGCAATTAATATCACTTACTATTAATTAATATATATATATATATATATAATTATATGAATTAATAAATAAATTTCTTTAATTACCCTTTGTTTCGTCCGGTATAATGATCAGTTTGAACGGTTACTTTTCTTAGACGACCATATCGTTCAAACATATCAGCTACATCTTGTTCATGAAAAGAATAAGGTAGATTACCTACATAAAGTGTTGTTGAATCTCTTCTTTCTTTTTCAGATCCACTATTATTTTATAGTCATCAACAACATTGTCAAAACAAAATATATTATTATTAGATATTATCAAAAGCTCTTGAAAGATCCTGAAAATTATTTATCATTAGTCCGTTCAAACTAACTGCAATCCATTCATCATTTCACTAATTCAATCATTCCGCTTCAACCAAAATCCAATCCAAATCATATTCATATTCATATAAATATAAATATATTGCATGTTATATTAAATTCATATTAAACACCTCTACAAATAATTACCGATCAATAGGTTTACTCCTTCTTGGTGGGCCTCTTCTTTCAGGTGGATATGGATGGTCACGGTAACCTCTATCATCTCGATATCCACTTCTACCGTAACTACGATCATATTTATCGTCCCTAGCGTATCGATCATCTCTGTATCGGTCATCTTTACCATTACGATAACCACCTCCTCTAGGCGATTGGCTTCTACGTCTTGGTGGGGAGTAAGATGAATGACGATAACCACTGCCGCCTCCTTCTTTTCCACCACTACCGCCACCACTTCTTGGTGAAATAGAGCGATCTTTCCTTGAGCTACTGTTGTAAGCATGGCTGCTAGCAGCTGATTCAGGAAGTTGTGTTGTAGGTAGAACAGAAGGTTCTGACCTAGAAATTCCGTTTTGTGGGTCCATTTTTATTTTTTAAAGGAAAAATTTTTGTTTTTCTATTTTTTTGTTATTGTATTAAAAATGAAAATCTAAAAGGTTCTATTTGGTGCAACTATATTAATACGGTACACTAAAATGACAGATTTGGGAATTGTGAAAAATGCAATCAAATTTTTATTTTTTATTTAAAAAATATACATGATGATGACAACGATTAAAATTTTCGCAATTAATTATCTAAATATTGATAATGAGAATAAAAGGATGAGTGAGGAGGGAAAATAATTTTTTTTAAGAAAATTATATTTGAGTTGTTATCCATTCAAGTAATTGTCTTTCTTGTGCCCTTATTTCTTCATAGAGCGCATTATTAGCAGAAGTGCCTTGAACTGATTGGGAAGTTGTCATGAGGTTTAATAATCTATTGTCATTGTTTTTATTATAATTATTATTATTGTGATAGTTGTTTGTGCTATTGTTGTTATTATAAAAAGAAGATGATTCCAAAGATAGTTGATGATGACGATGTTGTTGATTTGTTGAATTAAGATTATTACTAGCATTGAAATTATTAGTATTAGGATATTGAAGTATATTATTATACAATGGTATGTTGTTTGAAGTATTATTATTATCATTATTATTATTATTATATTCTATATTATTACTAATTTTTTGGTTTTTATATTCTATATTATTATTATATTCTATATTATTATTACTATTATTATTATTATTGTTGTTGTTGTTGTTGTTGTTGTGTTTTTCCAATTGTTTATCAATTACTGCTGCTGAATTAGATGACAATGTTGCTAGCGATGACGATGAGGATTCCATGGATTTAGTCGATTGGAGTATATTGAGCAATGAATTCTTTCGTTGAGTTTCTAAATTATTAAATATTGATGGTACAAATGTTTTATTGTTATTGGGTGCTGTAATTGTGGTAGTGGCTGTCTCAACATTTTGATTTTTGACAATGATTCTTTTATTATAATCAGAGATAACAGGCTCGTATAAACCAACCGAGGTGTTATGATCAAATAATGATCGGTCAGGATCCAGTTTAGCAAAAGGTATTCTATGATTAGTTTGAACAGAAATTGGAGTTGAAATAGTAATATTATTATTGCTAATACTACCGCTATTATTATTATTACCGTTGTTATCATTAGTGGCGGCGGCGGCGGCGACTGTGCTGTTATTAATGTTGTTTTTATTATTTAATTTACCAAAATCAACTTTAACTGATATAGGCTTTAGGTTTAATTTGGTATTTACTTTGATGAGCTTATATTCAGAGTTGTCATTAGTTATTAAATTATTATCATCATTAGCATTATCATTATTATTATTACTACCATCGTCCTTATTATCATTTTCATTATTAGCAAAATCATCTTTAGATGGTTGATGATTCTTTTCACCAAATGCATGAGGAGTCAGAGAAATCCTGATTGGTCGAAATCTTAAATTCATTTTTGTGTTTACATTAATCAATTCATATTTAGTGGTTTCATTATTATTATTATTATTATTATTACTGGTTCTTGCTGTTTCATAAAAATCACTAAAGGTAGTATTACTGGTGCTAGTAGCATGGTTTGATCTTGTATTTTTTGTATAATTTAAATCCGCCTTAGCTTTACCTTTTTTATTATCAACAAAATTATCGGATGAATTATTTTTGTAATTATTACTGTTGCCATTGTTGCTATTGATATTATGATAAATAAATGTTGTATGATCAAATATTGAGTTTTCATCCTCTATGTTATGACCATGATCATCAATAAAAGCCAAATTTTCGTCCTCTTCATCCTCTTCTATGCCATCACTTTCAGAACAAATGATTGCTGATTCGTGCGAGGGTTTTATAGCATAATTGTTATCATCTAACCAATATGATTTCTTATTCCTTCCTATATTACTATTATTATTTTTGTTTTTATTTTTACAAGTCTTTTGTGTTGATACCCATTTTCGTAAGCGACTTTTTTTAAAAAAAAGCTATTAAAAAAAATTTAGGAGAAGATATGTATATATATATATATATATCAATAAAAGCTTTATTTACTTACGTAACAAATGGAACAACCATGTAATATCTACTGCTACCATATTTAACACAACCACCACCACAATTATAAGGTGATTCTTTATTACGATTTTTTGTCCAAGTGGGTAAATCTGAAAGATTATGCCATTCTATTTTCTATTATTTTTTTAAAATATCAATAATGATACATACATACATATGTTCTTATTATTGAACAACAATATAACTGATCAATAACTTACACTGATTTCTTTACGTGTCTGTGGACAAAAATTAGCACCTTCTAGTACACCAGCCACTATATATAGTCTGATCCTTTGGCCACGAATTGTTATTTCAACAAAATCATTTTCTTTAATCAATGGTGTGATATCATACCCAGTCTCCTCAAACACCTAATTATATTGATATAAGAGATTATTTTTCTCTAAATAAATATTTATGCATTCATGTATGTATGTATTGACGTACCTCTCTAACGGCACAAATTGAATCAAGTTCATCTTTATTTATTTTGCCTTTTGGAAAACCCCAACCTGATCGTGATGACCAACCTTTTACCAATAGAACCTTATCCATAGTAAGATTTAACATTATTGCGCCGCATACTGGAACCCTTATTTTATACTGCATGAAATCCCCAAACGCCTTTTCATGCTCATTTCTCCATTTGTAAAGCAATGGACAATGATCAAAAAGTGTTAAACAGAGTTAAGTTGAAAAATACAATTATAACGGTATGATTATTGCTATTATTATTATTATTATTGCAGAAAAAAAATAAAAAGGATATATCTTGCAGAAAAGACTTTTAATGTGAAGCTGGGTAAACTTGGATTTTGTTCACGAACAAAATCTTCATAGAACCAATGAGCCTGTTCGATTTGAAAGCAGATACGTTCTATGGAAGACAATTCCTCTTCAGGAACATTTATTATAAAACGACTGTAAAATATTCTTTTATTATTATAATGTAGACTAAATGACCATAGGAACCAAAAAGTAGTAAAAATAATAAATAAACCTTGATAGGTCGTCTAGAATTTGGGTAAATGTTGCAGTTTCAAACGACATTTTTAATTTTTTTCAGATGTGTAAAAGATTCGTTTTTTTTATTTTGGTTTTAAAAATTTTTGAAAGAAAAAATCACACGCACAATATATGAATTTGATCGACATTTATACTATTATTTTTGCGGTTAAAGTAAATAAAATGATTTTTTTTTGTTTTTTTTTTTTAGGGAACATAAATAACATTTTTGCCTTCAATTCTTAAAAATTGTCGTTTTATTAAGGATTTAATCTGAACGTCGATAAGTTTTCCCTTAAAATAAAAAAAATATAAATTTTGAATATTAATTATTGATAAATAGAAAAAAATGACAAACAATAATTGTTAAATAATTTACCTGAATTTGTTGATGAAAATTATTTTTAAAATCTTTTTGTATAAAACTAATCAAACTATTTTGTTGGTAACGTTTATGCAATTTCATTAATTTCATTATCCTTGAATCTATTCTTATTTCGTTGGATATATTATAAGAAGAGGTTTGAACATCCTCTGATGTTGATACCTTTTTCATCCCCAAATGAATGAACATGTGTGTGTTAGTTAATACATATATGTATGATATTAAATTAATTATTTTTGTTACCTGTTTTTGTGATTTTCGTTCAGCGATTATTATTGGATTGTCGACGGTTGATTCGATGTAGTTTAAGTTTTCATTAATAAAAATAGCATCGGATAAATTCAATCTCTTTGAATTCACAAATTTATTTAACAATTTAACTTCGCCAAATATCAGTGAACTTAAAGCACTTTTTAATACTTCAAAATCTAAATAAAGAAAGTAAATTAAATAATATAGTATGTTAATACATATATATGCATAAAATACATACATGCATACGTGCATACATGTATAATATATATTTACCTAATTCAGTATTTTTCATAATTTCACGAATAGTGTATGATATTTGATATGATCTTGTATAGTTGAACATTTCCAATATTATAAACATGTGCATATTGATACTAAAGTACATTTTTCCCTAATAAATAATATTGAAAATATATTAATGTGAAGATCCTACTAATAATATGAATATAATAATATAATTATTATCTACCTTTGGATGAATTGAAGAAATAATTAGATTATCATAGGAATGTAACCATTTAAGATTTCTATCTTTTCCCTTGCAATAATAATAATCTTGAAATGATTTCCTCATCAAGAACAACTAAAAAAATTGATTAATATACACACATATATATATGTATGTATATACAATTAACATATGATGATGACGATGATGATTATGATGATGATATATTATTTACTTCATATGGTATTTTTAGATCAACAACTCCAGATGACGATCCAGTGATAAAGTTTGGCCAATAAGACCCTGTTAATATTGTTACTTTTAGATGATTAAAAATCTACAAAAATGATTGATCAATGAATGATAAGATGTTAATTATTAATTATTGAAGTCAATCAATCAATCAGTTGTTGTTGTTGGTTAATTAATATTTACATCAAAATCTTTTTTTATTTCAATTGATTCATGGATGTCTTTAATCATTGCATTTAAATTATCTAAATATAAATCATCCCCTAAAAATGAATTATAAAACAATTATAAAATATCATAATATATATTTATATATTTTATACAACAATATAATAATAATCAATGATTTAGCATATACCTATTATCTTTAACCTGCTAAATAATGACAAAATCCACTTTTCATTTAAAAGATTAAGATTTTTGTCATCATGGCAATAAAGTAGTCTTTTAGCAAATTTTTTCTTATAATGTTTCATGAAATAAGGTTTATCTATAAATAACAACCATTAATAATATAGCAGCAGCAGTAATAATAATAATAATAATAATAATAAAGATTATTACCATCTAATAATACGATTAATGAAGTAATTTCTAATATTTCATCTGTTTTCTCTGATTTTGTGTTGTCTGAAGGTGTTATTATTAAATGATCAATATAATCGACTAATAAATAAGCAAATTAATAAATAAGAAAATTAATAAATAAGCAAATTAATAAATTAATGATTAATTCATTCAAAAAACACTGGATAATTATTATCAAACAATTATTGTATTTACCACAAAAATTAGTGATATTATCTTTTTTTTCATTGACAAATGACATAAAATTTTTATTCCACATATTTACAATATTTGAATGTTTTTCATTTGATTGAATGTTTTTAAATTTCTTATTTAATTGACTTAATGTTTCCAAATTTTCTTTGTTGATTATTAGTGATTTTTGTGGTGAAAAGATAATGCGTGAATTATAAATATTCTAAAAAAAATAAAGAGTATCAAGAAAACATATAATTCATTTAATAAACATTAATCAATTATACTTTATACATACATACATACATATATATATATACACACACTTACATTGATGTATTTTTTAAAGAAAATATCCAAAAAGTCAATTGAATCGATAGTCTTACAAATATCATATAATAAAACCAAATTCGCTAGACTATCAAAATCAAAAAAAACTATTGAAATGAATGAATAAATGAATGAATAAATGAGTGAATGAATGGATGGATGAATGAATGAATATTGAATAGTGAGTGAATAAACAAATAAATAATAATATATATAAAATGAATATACCGTCCTCTCAAATGTATACCTTTTTCAATTATAATATCCATATGCCTGAGGTAATATTCATTAATCATGATCTTAGCTGAAGATTCTCTGATATACAAATCTTCACCAAAAAAATAAGTCACTTTATCAATCTCAAACTCAATTTGTTGCTTGATCAACTTCAAATAGGTGCCTATATTACGATTTTCAATTAATGGTCGGTATGATAAACTTTTCTCACGAAAAAATTTCTTTGAATTGTCTAGAAATGCATATTTAAATGAGTCATAAAGTTCTAGTTCCTTGATTGATTGTATCATTGTCTTTATATATTCATCATAGTGACCATATTTACTACTGCTGTTAGTATTGTTGCCGTTGCTATCATTTGTGATTTTGTTGTTATTGTTGTTATTTATGTTAACATAAATATTTTGATTTCTATAAAAGTTAGTTAAATTAATTAAATTAGTCAATCAATCAATCGATTGGAGAAGTTATCAGGAAATAAAAATTCGATAAATCTTTTTTTTTTTTTTACCCCAATTCATTAAATGTGATTAATACAGATTTAATAAGATTATTACATATAACATTTGCTTTTTTTAAATTATTAGAAAGCATTCTCATCCCAAATGTCCTAAAATAACAAAAATTACGTATTAATAATAAAACTACAATGGTGATATGATGATGACGATTATGACAATGATAATAGCATGTTATATTTATTAATTAATACATTACCATAATGTTTGATTTATTTTATTGAAAACGTCTTTAAGAAATGGATAATATTTATTGACAAAAGTCTGTAAAATAATAATGATGATCGGTTGGACAGTTAATTAGTCATCATATATTTGTTCATTCATTTATTCGGTAATTAATAAATTTAAGTATTTTACCAGCTTATATTCAAAACATTTCCAAAAGTGAAAATATAATGCAGAAAAATTTTGTCCAGGCACAGAAATTCTAGTAAATAAAGATATAAATAATATAGATTAGGAAATGACACACCTTTACCTTCACTAGGAGCTCGGATAATTATAGTTGAACTGGTATTGTGGGAATGGTTAGAAATTGGAGATTAAGTCTTGGAAACAAATTTACTTTGAAAAAAAAAAAAAAAGCATTTTTAAAAAATTGCTCCAAAAGGCAACTGATATGCCTTTTTTAGTAAGATTTTCCGAACGACACAAACTAATTATAATTTATCCGAGCTCCCCCCTCAGTCCACTCACACTCACACCACAATCTAACCCCCTCCTCCTCCCCCATAAAATTTAAAAAATAAAAATTAACATTACTGTTGAAGTTGAAAAATCCTAATATTGATATAATATGCTATACAACAATCCAGCACTGAGATCAAATCATTTGGCGTCAAATCATGTTTCAAGTATAACTGTTGGATATGATCTCTGTTACTTGAAAATTCATTCTCTATGGAACCAAGGTCAAAATCATTGTTTAACATAATTGAAATGTGGTTTTTAAATTTATCAAATTCATAAAATTGATTTGCTAAAATATTATTATCATTGTTGTTGTTGTTGTAATTAGTGATTGGTGTTTCTAATGTTCTTGCTGATGTAGATGATATGGCAATAGGTATTGTTGTTGGGTATAATGAATATGGCGAATATGGCGAATATGGCAATGTTACTCCTACTGAATTTTGGGAGAAAGATGGTAATGATGGTGGACATGAATATTCATGTACAAAGTCAAAATTACACCCATATTCTCTCATATGATAATCTTTGTGAGTTGAATTGATGAAAAGATAATTTGAAGCAAGATTAGAATTAAAAATACCATTATTATTCATCATAACATTACTTATAGGGTAGTGATTCATGGTATAAAGGCCGTTATTCATGATGTAAAAGCCATTGCCATTACTCATGGTGTTGAATCTATTGCTCATGGTGTTGTTGAGGATATTATTGTTGGAGGTAGAAGAAGAAGCAGCAGGAGCAGTAGTAGCAGTAGTTGTAATTGATGATCGATGTTGTTGTTGCTGAGTTTTTTTAAATTTTTTATTAGAGTTATTTGAAGAAAGTGGTAACCTTAATCTTGCTGCAGCCTCCTCTATTGCTGATTTTTTTGTTTTTACCATTGACATTTCCGGTGATGTGGGAGTTAGTTGTTCTGCTGATTCTATGGTTCTTTTAGTTGCTGTTGTTGTTGATCCTTTATCAGTTGATATTATTCTTTGATTTTCCATTGTTTTTTACACTCAAAATAATTTCTTGGAGAGTTGTTTGTTATTTCAGTTTTTTTTTTAAAAAAAAAAAGAGGTCAAAAAAAGAGCTATAGTTGTTGATATTTTTCGTTAGTAACCAATTGGTTCGTGCAACGACGTGGGTTCAGCCAATCAACAATGCTCAACGAACAGGGACCCGAGCTTTGCAATCGAAAGATGGGACCGTCGATCCAAAAAGTAACATGGATTCTTGAAAATCGTTTCCTAAAACCAAAAAATTTGATCAGGTGGTCACACACGTATATCAATTCCATATTTACAACTCGTGTTACATGTCTTGAACCAAATCACTGGAACACTTTGTGTTTATCATTACTTGTTTTGGTGGAATATCTAATACACTGATGGTCACACATACAAAATACGAGTTTGTTCCATTTTATATATATATATGTCAAAGATATTTTATTTATTTATTTTTTTTTGCTTTAAACAAAATCAACATTACATAATATCGATATGATTGAGTCCCACCTGCAAAAAAGGTTGTATTTGTGGAGTGGGATGTGTGTATATATATATATATTATATGTTACCTAATTACTGTTTTCAAAAAAAAGAAATTAATTAATTATTAATTAAAAAGTGGGGAAAGGTTACCTTTTTATACCGTTTTTGATATCATAATTCATTTCCTATTTTTCACTCATTCATTCATTCATATTATTCAAAAGAAGTTATTTTTCCCTCACTAATTAATTAATTGATTGATTGATTAATTAATCGATTATTAATATCAAATTTAATCGATTAATTAAATTGAATGACTAATTCGTTTTAAAAAAAAAAATGTCCGAAATTATCATCGTTTTCAAATTAAAATTTTTTTTTTCAATTCAAATTTCTTTCCAAATTCGTTAAAGTATACACACACAAAATATTATTTGTATGTAAAATACAGTTTGAACAATATACAACACACACAATTAAACTCTATAATTCTTTACAATTATTATTGTTATTGTTATTATTATCATTTATAGTGTGTGTATTTACATAACATTACATATAATATATATATATATATATATTAAGAGTGAAAAAAATAAATAAATAATTTTTTTTTTTTAAAAATTATTGACAATATGATTTAGTGGAGAGAGAGAGAGAGAGAGAGGAAAGGGCGGCGGAATTGCAGGATGAAGGAAAAAAAATTTTCGATATTTGAATATGAAAATCACAATAATAGTAATAATAAATAATAACGACGATGGTAATGATAACGATAGATAATATTAATTATAATAATTAATAATAATAATGATAATAATAATAATAATAATAATAGAAATAACCAGTAATTCATTCATCAACTGCTGCTTCCCACACAAAATGAAAATATAATTTAGTCTCTATTATCATTGTTGCTATCATTATTTAGTTAAAACAATGAAGGAGTTTTTAGATTAATTCAGCAAATTCAGTAAAACCACTGCTACTCCACACATTTTTCACGAATTTTAAAAAACAACCAACAATAATAAAAAAACAATGGTGAGAGAAAAAAAATGTGGTGTATAAAAAAAGAGACAAGAAGAATAGAAAACACACGTGTAATTGTCAGTCAACAACAATTCAAATTGTAATGTCGATTTATTTTGTTTGTTTTGACGTGTCAAAAAAATAAATTTGTTACATTACCATATGTGTTATATATAATGGATGAATGAATGAATGAATGTCTTGGTGAAATGGAATTTATTTATTTATTGGTTGATTTAGCAAAAAAATAAATAATCTATAACGATATCTGATGTTTTTTGTTTATTTGTTTTGATCGATTTGTCAATTATATATATATAAATAATAATAATTAGATTATTAATATATTGAAAATAAAAGCAGCATATTACGTCATTGATAATTTATGAACGGACGAGACCCGTGATTGCGTTGCTTACCAATTTAATATTAGAGTTATTGGTCAAATCCAACAAAAAATTAATGAAATGATTTATTTAGTAGAAAAAAAAATTTTTTTTTGTATGTGCGTGCGTATGTGGAGATGGTTAAATAATAAAAATAATAATTGAAAGTCCAATGTCATTGCATATTTTTTACACTAATCGTATATGTATCTTCTATAGTAATAATAATGGACATTTATTCCACCCATCAAAAATTCCTGATCTACCCAATACTTTTAATTACTACGTTTTCTATAAAAAAAACCAATACATTTTCACTTTCTCACCAGTAATATAATGGTAGCGATGATAGAGAGAGCGAATGGGAGGGTAATGAGTGGTAACAGGCAGGATAGTAAAATGATCCAGCTTGGTTGCAAATTATGGAATAAATCGGTATTTCGCTTTAGACAATGAATCAACATGATCGACATGGTGTAACCATTCCAAAAACGGTATGTATATAAAGTACAAATTTGAATACAATGAAAATGTCCTGTCATGTCACATAATTCACCTGGCAATTATCACATTTTTAGTAATAGAAAAATTTAAAAATTAGTTTTGGGAAATTTATTCCTTGCTCCTTTTTTCATACTAGTTGTTATTTTCTGCATAATAATAATAAATAAGATTTACCACTCACACAAAAAACATTTTTGAGAAATAAGGTAATAAATTCTAATAATAATAAAATAACATGTAATTGAATAGTAAATAAGTTGGAAAATAAATAAAAACGCGTACATAGTTTTTTCTTATGTACACTGCAACTACACTGCATTTACATAAGGAAATTATTTAGATAAATAAAAAAAATAATTTTAATTATTTAATTGTATTGATTAGGAAACAAATGAATATTCAAGAATGAAAATTCTTATCTTCCTTAAATGTTTTTCTTGTCATCTTTCTCTTCCAAGAAAATATATTAATTTTCCTAATATAACGCCAAAGCAATTGCTAAGGAATTATTATTATCATCGTCATTATATCACCATATCATGCTTTAATTTTAATTTTAGAAAAGAAAAAAGGGGGAGGAGAGGAGGAAGAGGTAGAGGTAGAGGAGGGAGGGATAAGGAATAAAAATATAAAATATATATATATATATAAATTAAATAATATAATATAAAAAAATAACAAGTATTAAAACAGGTTCTCATTGCAAATAAAATAAATCATTTTCTAAACTAGTTTGTCTAAAAATAGTTAAACCAGTTAGATATACACTTACCAATCAACAGCAATACCGATATTGATTACCAATTTGGAAATAATTTACAAATTAATATGCTGATCATTTATCGATAAGGTTTAGTTAGATGAGATGAAGTTAAAAGATGTGGACGATTATTATTTAATCACACCATCGTTTAAAGCATTTAAAGATATCGATATCGTTTGAGTGTTACATAATAATGAAAATTATGCTGAAATTATCAAATTTTTGGTAAAATTTCACGTTTTCGACTTATTGCTAGGTAATATAAATATTTGTTTCTCCTCTTTGTTATTTATTTGGGCGATTGACAGGAGAGTCGTTGCCAAATATGTTGTTGTGTGATAATGTGAAATTAAAATAATATGATAAACAAACAACATAATAAATAAATAGTTGTTTGTAGTGTAGTAGTAGATATATATATATATATATATAATGATCTAGTACTAGAAACAAGACAATAAATAATAATAGTCAGTGTGTCGGAGAGAGAAAATCCCAATCGTTTGTTTAATTTTCTCCTTCCTTTTTTTTTAATCTTTTTCAATCTCCTCGTTCCAACAAACAAAATATTGTTATTTCAAACATTTGATTAGTTTTAGTTGCTATTTAAAACTTTCATATATCTTATAAAAATTAGAAGTGATTTTCATTTCATCCAAAAACAAATAAAACAAATAAAGTAGTTATTTTATTCCTTTTTAATTTTAGTTTTTTTCTATTGTGATAATAATTTGTTATATAACTCTCCATTCTCAAATAATTATAAAAAAAAAAAAATAAAAAAAAAAAAACGCCTCTCTTTGTAATATATATATTAATAATTATTATACTTGTAAATATATAATATAATATATATATATATTCTATATTACTAATATTCTTTAATAAAAATAAACTAGTTTTTTTTTTAAAAAATTTCTAACCAAATAACTAAAAATAATAATTAAAAACTATTCTACAAACAACTAAAACTAATTATCATTATTCAATATATTAAAAAAACTAAATTGAGAAATTATATATTTCAAATATTCTATCAAATTTTCAATCGGAGACGGTAACAGAAACAACCAGAAGGATAAATTCGACAATTTTTTTTTTGTCGTTTGTAATAATAACAACCCTTACTTCATTACATCATTCCAACAACACAACAATCATCAATCAATCAATTATCAATTATCAATTAATAAATCAGTAGTAGCGTCATCATCAGTCAAGTTTATTTTTACAATAATTAATTACTTTTAACGATATTACCATAAAAAAATTTTTAAAAAGGAGATACAATTTTTTAAGAATCCGTTATTGAAAAATCCAGTCAGTCTGTCAGTCTCATTCAAGTCAAAATAAATTTATAACATCATCGTCATCTGTAAATTTTACCCAGTCAGTAAATTTACTAATCAGTGAAAAATAAATAAATAACAAACAACAACAACATTATTTAAAAATTAATTAAATTTTCACCACACAAAACATACCAAATAACAAAAGTGGTAAATATCAAAAAAATTTATCAAAAAAAAAAAACAATAGTCAATTTTCATTCTCAGCGTCGAACAACACGCAAACAATAATATTAATAAACAATATTCGAAAAAAAAAAAAAAATTTTCCTTAAACTAAAAAGAAACTATAAAGAAACTTTTTAGTAAACTATAAAGAAAAAAAAATCATATAAACTCTTGGAAATTTTTTACTTCTTTTTTTTCTTTTCTCTTTTGATTATATCAAGAGTTTATATTCTTCACTAATTAATAAAATTTTTAATTAATTAAAATTATATACCTCTTCGATATTTCTTTTTTTATTCATTACACACA